CCGTACCCGCCCCGAGCCGGGCCTTACTCTGGGCCTTCACCCGCCGGCTGCCGACCATGCGCAGGTGTTTGCGGAAGTTCCTGGGGAGGAAGCACCGGGGCTGATTAGGGCCGCGAGCGGGAGCGGCGACCGCTGCCTACTTAGCCTAGCTCCTGACGTCACCAGTCTCCACTCTCGCCCCTTTCCGTGTGGGACGCGCATGACCTCTAACCCTAACCCTGGCTCCTGCCTCCAACTCACCCACCACCCACCCAGCCTCTCCCCGACTGAGGCCCTTCCAGGGCCCCCCCTAGTTCCCAGAACAAAGGTGCAGGGCCAGGTGGTCCCTCAGGCCTTCTCTTGCCCGTACCAGTTACCTCCTCAGTGACACCCCACACTGAGGCACCCCGACCCTTCCATCCTCTTCCTGGACCCACGCACACCCTGAACCCCGCGGGGCCTCCCTTCTCAGGGGGTCGAGGGCCCCTGCATCCTCCGCAGCAGTCAGCCAGGGCGACGATCCTATCTGCACCACCCCCAGGCCTGTCTGGGGCCTGAAGGTGCCCCCTACCCCGCTACTGTGTCCCTGGGCCACTTCAGAAACAGGTTCTCTCTTCTCCCAACCTTTGTACCCTGCCAAGGCCCAATGTCCAAATGGAGAGACAAGCTTCCTGGACACATCTGTGAGGTTGGTGTGAGTGGGAGGGAGGCTTTGCCACTAGCCCCCACAGGTCTGGGCTTCCGGGCCAGACAGAGACACGGGTAGTTGGCTGCACTCCGGCTGTCAATGTGCCCTCGAAATGTAGGCCCAGGTGAAACAGGGCTCTGCAGCCTGGGCCACACAGCCCCTCCTGCCTGCCACGTCCCCAGAGCAGGGCCAGGCCAGTGGTCGCCACCACCCTTCCCCCATCAGGTCTGCTGGGGCCAGGAGGGCCCAGGCCAGGCCAGCACAGCACAGACCAGAGATGGACCCTGGTGGCGAGTGGCTGGCAGGCCCTACCTCTGGATTACAGACGCGGAATCATTCTCCCGTTTCCGGCGTTTCCTCTCCGCGTAGCCCCTGAACACCCTGAGAAACCGCCGCAAGTCAGCACTGCCCTTGGCCGGAGGCAGGAGGGACAGAGACATGGGGACAGAGGCATGAGCAGAGGGTCCAGTGGGGCGTCCGGGCTGCAGGGCCCGGCAGAACTGTGGCCTGCTATACCCCATCCCAGGCCTGGCTCTGGCAGGCCCTGCTGTGGCCTCAGTGCCCGCTGGGAGCCAGAAGAGGCACAGCACTCCCTCATGGTCAAGGCCCAGGTCCCTGGCCTGCCCAGAACTTTATGGGTGGAGGGTCCCCCCGGGAACAACAGCTGTGCCCTTAAGTCACACGGGGTACTTACGAGATGCTGAAGCCACAGTGGGAAGGGACAGCATGAGAGAGAAGACACAGTAAGTCTTGACCCCAGGCCTCTCCTCAGCCCCCTAGGGCCCCTGCAATTAGTTTCCTTCTTGTCATTGGGAGGGACCCTCATCCCTCATAGGGATGCAGCCACCACGTAGGATGCCGGCTACACTATTGGTCAGCCCTGAAAGGGCAGTGGAAGCTGAGGTCACTGTGGCTCACACCACCAGGTGCTGTGACCTTGTCAGACAGGGGTGAGAGGTGGGAAAGTCCTGCCTGATGTGGTGGGGTGGGTGGGCTCCCCAGGGTAGTGTGTGGGGAGAGCTCCTCTGGCATGGGGGCCACTGTGGCAAAGGGCACCTGCCTGGAAGGAACCCCGAAACAGAAAACCAGGTGTGTGTCAACAGTAAAGAAGAGCATATCCCCCAGGGGTCTCCTAAACTGTGATCACCTGTGCCGCCTTTGAAACAGAAGTAGGTTGCTGTTTGGGGTGCTTGTGAGGGCAGACACAGGCTGAGGAGACGGGGCAGGGGGCAGGTGAACCACCCCCACCCACACACCCAATGATGGCTGCCCTGGGCCAGGTCCCCAGAAGATAGAACAGACAGACCTGAGGGATTGTGACAGTGGGGGTGGGGGATGGTGGTGGAAGGGCAGGGTAGAGAGGGGCCGGGGAGGGGCCATGGGGAGGGGCGGTGGGGACAGGGCACACGCTGTGGGACGGGGAAGAGCAGCCAGCCGTGCCTCCCAGGACTCGGAGCCTCAGCCTGACTCGCCTGGCAGACCTGGCAGGGCAGGTGCGCAGAGGCTGGGAAAGGGCTGTCAGTATTTCCTGAGCACCAGGAAGAGGCACCGGGCTGACCCCGTGAGGCAGGCACACAACTCACGCTTGCATAGTTGTGGTTGCTGTCTGGAAGCTGAAAAGGTTTTCCTTGGGGAACCAGGTGCGGATGGGGACGTCGTCTGAAAGGGACAAGGAGGAGCAGTGGCTGGTGCACTGGGAGCTCCTAAAGCCTTTACCCCTCCCCTCCGTGGGGAAGGGGACTCTTCTGGGCCCAGGGGCTCAGCAGCATCCATTAGAGTCAAGGCAGCAGGGAGCCCTGGCCCTCTCCAGGTGGGAGGAGCCTCCGCACACAGGGCCAGAGGTAGCATCTGCCCACCCAGCTCTTCACACACCCAGACGGCTCGCAGAAGCTCAGTGACTTGAGCTTTGGTTTTCTTGTTTAACTCTCCCTTTGGTTACCCAAAGTTTGAGAAATCCCTTTGAAAGCACAGTCTGTCTCCAGGGTTGCCTGGGGAAAAGGTTTTTCTTGTCTCCCTTGTGTAGAGGGTCTCTGGGGCCTTCTCTGCAGCCCTGACACTCTGATGTCAGCCCAGCCAGACCCTCCGCTCCTTGGGCACCTCCAGCAGTTGGAGGTCCTCACTGAGGGTGGAAACCAACTTGCTGAGGGCCAGCCCCTTTGGCCCTTCCCTGATGCCCAGGCATGGGGCTGCTGGACTGTCCCAGGGGAGCCTCTCTGCAGGGCAGAGCAGCTATCAGACACAGCAGGCTTCGGGGGCCCCCAAGCCACGTGCACAGCTCAGCTATCCTGGGGAAGGGGCTCAATGGCTGGCTGGGCCCGGACAGTTCTCCAGGATTCCCCAAGGGCAGCCTGGTTTTCTGACTCACCGCCATGTTTTCTGCCTATTCATCCCTCGAGATCTTCCCAAGCCCTCTCCTCGACTGACCTGGTGCTGACAGCGTCAAAGCCGACCACGAGGCCTGGCAGAGCTTTGCTGAGGAGCTGAGGGAGGCCACAGCTTGTGGGGCTTGGGGAGGGGGGTGGCA